TAGATTTTATTTCATATTCATTCACATTTTTAAACTATCAATGCATATGAATGAAATTTCAATAAGCATAATAGTCAATTTAAATATAAAAATCATATTAATTATTTACTTCATATAATTACTTGCTTTATTCTTTTTAACAACAAACAAAGATATCTATTAGGATAATAATATTATAAACAATCAAGAGTACAACTGGTTATAAATTATGTAAAAATATTTGAATGGAAAAGTGAGTTAAAGAATAGAAAAATTGATGGAAGAATGCAAAATTTTAAAAATGTGAATGAATATGAAAATAAAATGTAATAATTAAGTATTATTTTTTAAACTCTAGATTTAATTGTGTTATGAGTTTTTTTAATTCTACACTTAATTTGATATTTTCATAACATTTAAGTTTCGAATTGAGAAAAATAATCTTTCAGGCCTCGTATTAATAATTTACCCATATTTCGAGCCTTATATTTATAAAACTCCTAAATTCAAGACTGATTGATTTGCCTTTTTGTCAATGTGTATTCAATATTCTTGAGATTTTTTTCAATAATAATCATAATATACATAATTTGTATTCATATGCATGGATTTTTTTTTATTATTTATTTATTTATTATTTTTTTTTTGGCTTTTTATAACGTGATCAAGCTTGTGGCAAAATATATAGAGTAATGCTATATGTACATAATATTGTATATAGGGGTGTACACTCATGTTGAGTGGGACCCACTAAAATAAAATTAAGTGGACCCCACTCCATATGAGTGTTATGTACATCTCTATGTACATTTATTATGTACATGTAGCATTTTTCAAATATATAATAAGCTTTATCTGTAAGGGTAGCAACTTTAATACATGAGGACCTTTGACGAAAAAGTAGTATGGTCCCAACATCTTTCTAGGTCCAAATTTGACAGGCTAAATTTTATTTTTAGTCCATTATGTTGGTCATTTTTCGAAAAAGATCTATTATATAGGGTGTCATCAATAATAGTCCACTAAATTGTCACTTTTAATCAAAACTCGTGCAATAGCCAACATAGTGTACAAAAAATGATAATCACTTTTAGTACACTATCTTGGTTTTTGTAAGAATGTTGATTAAAGTGGCAACTAAATAAACCATTCATGATGCCACCGTATATGATGGATCTTTTTCGGAAAATGGCCAATATAGTGGACCATTTTTAAAATTTTGCCAAACTTACCATAAGAAGGGAATAATAATAATAATAATAATAATAATAATAATAATAATAATTAATAATAATAATAATAATAATAGTAATAATAATAATAATATAAATTAAAAGGACAAATATTTAAGCACAAAAATCATGCATGCAAGATTTTCTACTGTAAGTCATATAACATATTTCGAAAGAATACTCGTTGCTCACATAATTCTTGAAGTTTTAATCGAAATATATTTTTCATATACCTATAATTTAATTAGTATCTTGTGACTGATTGCAGGAAAATCTTTATTGCCGAGCAAGGACCTCGAATGGTACTTCTTCAGCCCACGAGACCGAAAGTACCCAAACGGGTCAAGGACAAATCGGGCAACGAAAGCCGGATACTGGAAGGCCACCGGCAAGGACAGAATAGTAAATTCGCAAACGAGGGCGGTTGGCATGAAGAAAACCCTAGTATTCTACAGAGGAAGGGCGCCTCATGGGGCTCGAACGGATTGGGTCATGCACGAGTACCGTTTAGACGAAAGAGAATGTGAAACTCCCATAGGCTTGCAGGTTCATAAAAAAAA